TGAAGAAAAACGAGAATCAGAGATTTCATTCAGAGCTAATGGATTTCCTATGGCTATAGGGGCTATCGATGGTTGCCATATCAAAATAGATAAACCTGATAATGATCCAGATTCATACATAAATAGAAAGGGATATTATTCAATACAGATGCAGGTTGTCTGTGACCACAACCGCAAAATCATTGATTTTTTTGCTGGTTATCCTGGGTCCGTACACGATAGCAGGGTATTCAGGAATTCACCAATCTGCAATACTTTGGAAGAAAAATGTGGTCCATATTTCTTGCTCGGTGACAGTGGGTATCCGTTACAAACGCGATTGATGACCCCATTCAAGGACCGAGGGCAGTTAACAAGGAAGCAATTTAATTATAATTTAAAGTTGAGCCAAAACAGATATCGCATTGAACACTGCTTTGGAATTTTGAAGCAAAAATTTAGACAGTTGTATCACTTAAAATTCAGGAACATCACTAAAATTGTTCATTTTATGCGAGCGTGTTGTGTGTTACACAACATTGCCATTGATGATGAATTCCTCGAAGAAATTTCAGAAGATTTCTCTGCATCAAACGCACAAATACAAGCTGTACCACAAAACCAAGGCATTTTGGAGGAAGAGGATATTGAGGAAGACCAAGATGCCAAAAGGATTAGGGACAGAATAGTAGATGCACTTTTTATTTAACTATTACTAGTTAAGAGTTTAAATTTAAGTTACGTTTAGTTATGTAAATATATTTATATAAAATATACATACCTATCTATTATATTATATTTTATTTTATTTTTTAAACCATAATTAGTGGAGGAGGTTGGTAAGTTAAAAGTTGTGTGTTTACTTATGTATAGTACAATAGATTTAAATTTTAAAACATAACCAAATTAAATTTCAGTCCCACTTTTTCATCAAAATAATCACAGGCAAATATAAATAGTACAACTTATTCATGTATAGAACAATAGATTTAAATTTTAAAACATAACAAAATGAAATCTTAACTTTTTCATCAAAATAATAACAGGCAAATATAAATAGTACAACTTATTCATGTATAGAACAATAGATTTAAATTTTAAAACATAACAAAATGAAATCTTAACTTTTTCATCAAAATAATCACAGGCAAATATAAATAGTACAACTTATTCATGTATAGAACAATAGATTTAAATTTTAAAACATAACCAAATTAAATTTCAGTCCCACTTTTTCATAATAATAATCACAGGCAAATATAAATAGTACAACTTATTCATGTATAGAACAATAGATTTAAATTTTAAAACATAACAAAATGAAATCTTAACTTTTTTATCAAAATAATCACAGGCAAATATAAATAGTACAACTTATTCATGTATAGAACAATAGATTTAAATTTTAAAACATAACCAAATTAAATTTCAGTCCCACTTTTTCATCAAAATAATCACAGGCAAATATAAATAGTACAACTTATTCATGTATAGAACAATAGATTTAAATTTTAAAACATAACAAAATGAAATCTTAACTTTTTCATCAAAATAATCACAGGCAAATATAAATAGTACAACTTATTCATGTATAGAACAATAGATTTAAATTTTAAAACATAACAAAATGAAATCTTAACTTTTTCATCAAAATAATCACAGGCAAATATAAATAGTACAACTTATTCATGTATAGAACAATAGATTTAAATTTTAAAACATAACAAAATGAAATCTTAACTTTTTCATAAAAATATTCACACACTGTACTGCTTTGATTACATCTGAAGAATAATATCGTGATCATCGCTTTCCATTACTGCAGTCTTATCGCATCCAACAATTGAGTAGTCATATGTAGTATTGTTTTTTTTGCAACAACATTGTGATTGCAATATCATATTCCTTTCCTTAATGAGCTCATTCCTATTTTTAAGTAGTTGTAATTTTTCATTTTCTATTTCTAATCTTTTTTGTTGATAATTTAATCTATCTTGTCTAATTTTTTCAATTGTGCTAATTTTCTTCCTTAAATTTTTTTTTTTAGTAACTTCTTCTTGATAAATAATAATGTTTTCATTTGTGTCCTTTTTTGAGGTTGATGGACCAGAAGGTCCTTGAGTTGGACAAACATCTTGTTCGGAAAAATTAAGAACATCATGAACCTCCTCAGAGCATAGTAAAATTTCAGGGTGGACATTTTTTTTATGTGCAAATATCTGGTCCATTTCTTCGCTGAATTCAAAATATTTTTTTCCTCGTCCTGTACTATTTTTGTTTTCGACATACTTTTTATAATTTCTTTCCAAAACGCGCCATCGATTTTCACAGTTATTCGGATTTATTTTCATTTGATATGTTTGACTCATTTCGTCGGAAATTATTGCCCACATTTGTTTTAAACTTCTAATTTTCATTGTTCCGACTTTTTCCCTATATTTACTGTATAAATCTATCAATGTCTTGGAATTATGTGTATTCCACCTACACTCTTCTTGGATAGCAGTGGTGACCCCAGATGCCATGACTATAAATTCATTTAACTCTGAAATTGAAAATGTATACTTAAAAAAAAATGTATTTCTTAAGATAAGTAAAAAAACATACAAACGTTCAAAACGTAATGTACAGAATCTAAAACTATGTATGAACATACCTTCCATTTTTAAAATTGTGTTCAAACGTATAAATTTTAAACTTCAATGAGTGGTAAAAGATCTCTGTGTCTGTGTATCTAAAAAAAAATTGTATACACATTAAAACGTAACACTAATATTGTAGTAAGCCAGTTACTACGGAGTAATACCAATTTCATAAATACATAGTTATTATTATAATATACGATGAATCGGGATTCAGAATTAGGCGTAGTAACATTTGACAGTAACAATAAAACCAAATTCCACAGGTGCACAGGTGCATATTAATTACTATTTACATCAATGTTTATGAATATAAAATAACCTAACTTCACCAAACTGTGTATTTTAATCATTTCCAGATACTTGGTATAAAATTGCTTGACTGACAAAAAAACCAATACTAACACTTCATAATTTACCCCTTGCATTGAATTTGTATGATTACTACAATATACAGGGTGATTTTTTTATCGTGAACCAGTTAATATCTCGGGAAGTATTAGTAATTTTAAAATAATTTTTTTTTAAACTTGTGGATATAGGTATCTGACAAATGAAAAAAACTATTTAGGTACGAATAATTAACTATATAATAAAATAAATATAAAATAATAGATATTAACTTACTGTCAACCGTGATACTTTCGTTAGTAATCACTAATCACTGTAGTAGAGTTTGATGTTTTTGCACTGGTTGTAGTAGAGGATGACAATTCATGTTTAGTTACACTTTTCTGATGAATAACATTGACATGGTTTGATTCATTGATTGTTAGATTAGTATTTTAACTAAAAAATTAAAATTCAAATGCGAACGACTGATACAAATAACCAAATTGATAACATAAATAAATAAATAAATGTATGATAACAGTGTCTCGGACTCCCAGTCCGGTCAAAATCCGCGGATTGTTTTGACTGTCAATAACCAGTCACACAACTGGTCTAATAACGTGTTGGAACAACCATCTGACAGTTTGAGTTTGCGTTTCAGACGAGTTGGAACGGAAAAATTCTACTGCGCATGCTCCGGGCAGTTCGATGATAGTTTGACCGTGTGTTGGAACAAACCTTATGTATCATAATATTCTGATAATCTGATGTATATCGTATATTATGCTATCTCTTTCTAAGGTATAAGAACCTCTCTATTTACGATCAGTCTATTAATTATTTTAATTATAATGTAATATGTCCATGGCAAAAACTCATAAATACCGAGTAAAATATTATATTTTTTTTCAATTAGAATACAAAATGGCGCGTTCGGTTGACTGTTAGAGAGTGACAGTGTTGACTGATAGAGAGTGACAGTGTTGACTGTTGAGAACTTGAGATCCAATTGCAATTTGTAAACAACCGTTGGAAATCGTTACCAACTTCCAACCTCATTTTTGTTTATTGCTATGACGCTACCGCCATGATGACATTATCGTTCAACATTTTTTTTTTTACCACAGGTGGAGAATAGGTTAGGTGATAACTGAGATTTACATTTTCGATTTTACTTTCGTTCTTAATTTCTTAAAACAGTTTAAGGTTTAAACTCTTGTGACTTCCGTGAGTCCATCGTCCGAAGCGTTCCAAATTCTAACAACAATACTATAAATTATAATTGAAAAAGACTATTGTCTTGTCATTCAGTCATTCAACATTCTAGCAGTCAGCCACACGGCCGCTGTTTCGTTGATTATTGTTGAAATCATATTTATTTTTTTATTTGGAAGTTTTTAATTGCGAAAACCATACTCTCGTTTCTGAACTTCAATTTTACACCTATATCATTTTACTAGTGAGTAAGTACAATGGCTATTACACTATTTTGTTTACAAATATAATATTGTTTTGTGTGTTGACTTTACAAAAGATTGCCGCCATTTAGTCGTCACGAATTGGCTATCGCGTCTTAAGTCTTTCTGCCCTAATGAATTACCGAGACTTTAAAAAAAAAAAAATATTGAACATCACTGGGTTGCCGGAAATTAATTATATGTTACCTATTTTAATTTTTTGTTTATTTAAAATTGTCAATAGTGTGCATGAAATTATATCTTTTAGTCGCAGACCCATGTTTATTTATTTATATTTATTATTAAATTAATCTTTATCTCGCTTTAAAGATTTGGACCATTACTGCTACATAAAGTATAATGACTATAGTGTTTAATGATATTGTACATCTGTACTCCCCTCTTATTTTTAAATTATACTTTATATTGTATTAGTTTGAGGTGACCATCAATCAATCTGACATTAAAATGAATTATTTAAATTGATCACCTTTTGTTTTCTGTGTAGAGTTCACATCTGTATGCAATTTAAGCTTGATAAATTGTAATTATTAGTAATAATATTAAATATTCTTTACAGATTTGTTCAATGTCTTCCAAAAAAGTATTTAATGTCAATGACAAAGTCTTTGCAAAAATACGAGGTTATCCAGCTTGGCCAGCAATAGTATCTGGTGTTAAAGCTGATACCCCATCACGACAAAGGTATAATGTTTATTTTTATGGAACTGGCGAGCGTGCTGAATGTAAATCAGAGGAACTCTTTCCGTATGAAGAAAACAAGTCAAAGTTAGGAAAACCAAATAAACGTAAATATTTTGCTGAAGCTTTATTACAAATAGAGGATGATGATGAAGGTCCAGTTTGTCCTGAAGAGAATTTAAAAGTACCCGTCACATCAAGTAACACTAGTAACATAGAACAGGAATCACCCAAAGATGAATCTAAAAACGATAATGAAGTTGAAAAATCAAATGAATCTAAATCAGAAAGTGAAGAAAAATTAACAACCGATGAGTCTACTTTGTCTAAGGGGAAAAAAGTTGTTGCGTCCAGAAAGAGTTTGGGTCTCTCAATTACTAAAGGAACAAAAAGAAAAATATCTGATGTAAAACCTGAAGCGCCTTTGAAGAAATCTATGTCAAATAAACCAAAAATCTTGGAAAGTTTGAACCTTAAAAGACAATTAACAGTAGTGGTAGAACCATTGGAAAAGGGTGTAATAGAAAGAGCAAGGACACAGCAGGTTAGTAAGATGACGTTTTTTGATAATTTTGAAGGCTTAATTATAAAAATATATCATTGGTTCGATAGAACAATTTATAATTTAAAGGAGCACAAAATACAAAAAAACAAGGTTTTGAAGAAATGTTAAATTTCTAAGAAAAATGGTTTAGGCTTAAATGTTTACTCCCATTATTCAATGAGTTGTGGGAAATTGAAAAACCACATCATTGGGCTGGGCTTGCCGTAATTGCCTATCGTAAGATATAAATTACATTTAAACGTGTAATAGTTGCTCACTTCACAGAATAATTTACCTACCTCCAAAGCATATTTTCAAATTTTTTTTGAACGTATGTAATGTGTTTTTATTTATGAAGGCATTAGTAAAACCTGAACTTTTCTTAAGTGTTTGTTTTTTTGAAATATCTAGAATCTTATAAAATTAATTTTTATTACATAAGCCTCTGTAACCTCAGCAGTAACCTTCCAGCCATTGTCACTTCAGATGCATGTTTAACCCGTCGTTGGTCGCGTAATGAGAGATTCTCTCATTACGGTATTATTTTGGTCACCACTGTCTGTTATATCGGTTTATTGCCTATTAGTTGTACTATACCTTATCAGATACAGATAATCTAAAAATAGATTGGCACTAAACGACTTTGTAATTGATTATATACTGGCAGTATCCGTTTAACGCGACTCGTATGCACATGGTGAGAGAAATTCTCTATACGCGACTAAAAAAAAAAAAAAAATTACAAAAATTGTTATGTGTAATGTATTTTGAAAAAAAAAGAAAATATACATAAATACTGAAATGTATATAGTTTATAAGTTCTCATTTATATAATAAATGTATTTTGGTAGTTTATTACATATTATTATGAGACTTATTGAAGAAAGTGAGAGAATCTCTCACCACGCGACCAAAGAAGTACAAAAAAAAGACGGGTTAATAAAATATTACTTAGTACTTTTAATAATATTAAAAAATCAATGTTATATTGAAATTATGATATTTCTGGTCTTTAAAAAATCATATTTACATATAAATCAAACATCATAAATACAATGTTTAGGTTGGTAAATCATTGTATAAAGCAAGCAACTTTTACAGGTGTTCGATAGGAAATTATGGAGAGCCTTGCCAAATGATGTAATTTCTAAATATCATAATATTATCATTATTTTCAAAGCCTCAACTTTGACAGGGAAATAAATTAGATTATAAGGAATTGAAATTATATTCAAATTTGTTCCCCTAATTTTCTAGTTTTTTAGATTCTGAGCCGAGCAAAGAAGCTATTGGTTTTACAAAGGTGTTTATTTTTTTATTTTATTTTATCCTGTATACAAAATTTGTATCAGAAAGAGTACTTTGATTTTGACATAAAGTACCTTATCTTTTAGCAAATTGGATCAAAATAGTATTTTAGAGAGGTCATTTTTTGAATTTCTCAATAGTTATTTAATGCCACGGAAAAAACCAACAACTAATTACAAAAATCCGCTAAATATTGGATTTTGATTTCTAATGTTTTGTTTATCATTATCATCACCATAGAAACTAATAAAAAATAATAAGTTGATAATATTAATTAAACTTAAGGATATAATAAATAATAACAATATAAAATATCCAGACTGACAAACCGTCTCTGCTCAGAACTGTTTTTCTTATACAACGATATTATATCATTGAATTCAAGCTTAATACAATCCATTATACATTGACCCATTTGTAACCTATCCACTTCCCCGCTTTTGTTTGCTTTGTTGTTATTATAATTAAAGTATCAGAACCAAATAAATTAAATAGTTATAAATACACCTAACTTCAGAGATATTATTGTTTTTATTACTTTAGGAATTTTAGGTTAAACTTTTTGGAAGTTCTGTGAAATACAAATAAACTTGCCATCTGTTTGATTTGATTGTTCTGCTATAAATAGTTTGCAGTTGATATTCCTTTCTATACACGGATGCCGCCAAAATTCTCTTTTTTGATACTAGGGAATAGTCAACTATACTCTGCCCAGCTAGAAAACACACCGCGAACTGACGAAAATCTGATCTTCTGCACATCCTCCGCGATACCCTGCCATAGTCGAACTGGTTTCAATGGCAGGGCGACGTGTGGAGATGCATAGAATTGGCATGTTCTCTTACTGAACAGAGTATATATTTTCTTCATCTAAACTTGTACTTACTTGTTAATTTGTTAGCAAAAGACAAACACCTTTAAAAAACAGTGTACGGATCTTAAGATAATGGTCCTTAATAATAGTTTTACTTGGGGTTTTACTTTACACAGATATTTTACTTATTATATACTCAGCACAGTTTTTATAAATTAAATAATTTTAATAGATTATTATTAATTAATATTGTTTTCAAATAATCATAGCTGTGGGGGAGAGAGAGGCTATATTATATGGGATCTTCCAAACCTTTTTATCCTTAAGATTTAAATAAGTCTAAAAGTAGAACACCTTGCAGAAGATATAATAAAAAAAGTTAAATATAAATTAAGCTGCTCCAAAAGAAAATATACCAGTTCTGCACAAAATTTTCCACTTCCATCATTCCTTATCTTTGCTGTTATGTTTGAACGCGTTGCTGGAAAAAAAATTGGTGGCTGTCTGGTATATTCTTTTTTGGAACAAATTATCTAGGTACCTAATATTTTTCAAGTAACATAATAAATAGGAAGTAATAGGTGCTTATATAATTTAGATATTATGGTTTTCAGAAATTGGAGCAGGCTGCTGAGAAAAATGAAAGTGTTGATGAAAAAGTTTCTGAAACAGATAAAGAATCAGAAACTCCTAATAAAACTGAGTCTGCTCTTGAAACTAGTGATGTATTGTTGGATTCCAGTAAATTGGTAAAATCCTTGTCAAAAACAAAGAATAGTCCTACATCAAGTAGTGATATTTCTTCCACCAATAGTGTAAATGTAGGACATGTATCACGCTCTGGTCGTAAAATCAAGCCAAAAAAATATTCTGATTATGAAAATGAATCAGAGGCGCCAAAACGTTCAAGATTAAGCAAAGAAAATTCCAAAAATTCAGAAAAACATAATAGCAGCAATAATGAAACAGATTCATCAGAACAAAATTCTAAAACAAAAGGTAATATTTTAGTTATTTCTTTGTTTATAAAATGTTTTATTATTTATTTCTTGTTGGTGATAGTTTTCATCAGTATAATTTCAAAAGAAAAGATTGAGTTGTTTTATTTTCAGAAATCAATTATTTAAACAGCTTACTCTCTTGAAAAATTTAACTTAAATTTTTATTTCAGTAATTTAAATTTTGTTACTATTTATTTTTATAAATTGTTGAACTTTAGTTTTTCGATAAACAGTGTGCTTTATTGTCATCATTTTTTATACACTTCTAACTTAATGTATAATAAAAATTGTCTTTTCTTAATGAATTATTTGGGATTACTAAACTTAAATTTTTTTAGATACAAATTCAGAAACAAGAAAGACATCTAAAAGCCATGCGTCAGGATCAGTACCACATATAAATTCTTTACCAGCGGGTAAAGATTTGGAGCAAATTGATGGTGAAATTTCTGAAGACAGCGAAATTCCGGTGGTAATAAAAGATCTCATGGTGGGTGCTTTGTCAAACATAGAAACTGGTTGGATAAAAGCTGGTCCGAAAAAAATAACTAAAATTGATATATTACATACCGAAGTTGATTTGTTAGATTATATTCATAAATTACGTATGGCTTTACGAACTGATCATGCTGATTATGAAGTAGCATTAGTGTTATTGGAGAATATTACTGAACTACAAGTTAATGCATTGATGTTAAAAAAACATCAAGAAATTGTGAATACAATTAAATCACTAACAAGATATACCGGTAATGCTAGAGAGTGGAATCTTAATGAAGAGGAAACTATTTTACATAACGAAAAGTCATCCCTAATTCGACGCAAGGCTGAAGTAATATTTAATAAATTTATTTCATTGTTCACTGTAACTGATGGGCAATCATTCGAAGAGATATTTAACAAAGAAGTTGAAGAATTTTTTACAAAGACTAAACATTTGGCTTGTGATCAGATATATGGGCTTACTTCAGACAAGGATTATAATTAATTTTTATATTTAAAATTTAAAACAACCAACATTTTTTTTTATCATTACAAAACATTTGTATAATGATCTACTAGTATTCCGCAACTATTATATTTTTTTTTGACGCTATATTGGTTACATTCTTTTGTATCCATTATTATAAGTTTTTATTAATAAGTTTTAATACATTTTTAGTGTTCATTTATCAATTTAGTAATTGTTAAGTACCTAATATAATTTATAGTATAGTAGTAATGTTTCATTACATAATCACATATGAGTACATTTTTAAAACTAATTATGTATAATATTTACTATAATAATTTTGTTTCCATTTAATTGATAATAGATTACATTTCATTTTTATTATATATTTATATGTTAAGAACTATTATATAAGTAAATTAAATCTAAACAATCAGATTAGTTAATTGATTATAAATTATACAAGGAGAATTTTTAGATACAGACAAAGAATAACTATTAACGAAGATGAAAACTATTACATTAATAATTGATATAGTGCACAGTATTGCAGTATTTAGTCTATGTACAATTATATAGTTTAATATACTTTTTTTCAGTAAATGCCTGTGTTCAATTATGTATTAACTATAAGCCAAGTATTCCATAAATATGGATATATTTTTCCAAGGCTGGGCATTAACGAGTTATAAAGTTAAAGTTAAGTTAAAAAGTTAATTTTATTTTAACTCTTGGATTTTTATTAACTTCACTGTTAACTTACGAAATTCCTTTTTTAATTGACGTGAAATTAACGAATTAATTTTTCATTTTAAGAAGTAAGTTAATAATTAATTTTGTTTTTACTTTTATTACATTCACTATTTCAGTCTACTTCGTTTTCATGTCAAAAATTATTTACTGCCAATCGTTTAAAGTTAAAAAAAACGTATATTATACAATCTAACTTACATGGAAATATTGTATAAAGTTATAAACACTGGTCTATAATTTAGTTTTGGGTTAGAAAAAAATTAAGTAAGCTACTGTAGTACAAACAAATAAACTTTTTTTGAACTTAATAAAAAAGTAACAAAAAATGTGTGTTAACTTTTAACTTAACAGAGTTAACCAATAATCAAATTAACTTTTAACTTTTTGTTATTGGTGTTATTAACTTAACTTAACTGAGTTAAAAAAATATCATTAACTTGCCCAGCCTTGCATTTTTTTTTCCTTAAATGATGAATTTAAGAAAATTCTAATTTTTGGAATTTTTAAATATACTTTAAGATAATAATTTAAAATTCTTGAGATTTGTTGTATAGCAAGAAGTGATCTGTGGTGATGCAAATTTCTGTTTTTCAAATGAGAACCTCTTCCCCTTAGTTTATTGTAAATTATTTTTTGGATATTAGATTCTGAGCGGCGCGAAAGTATGTATTTGTTTTACAATGATATTATTTTTTTTCTGTCTGTCAGCAACATGCCGGATAGTAAGCATGCTTCGATTTTGGAGATCAGCATTTAGAAAGCGTCGAGAAAAACTACCGACAAATTACAAAAACTACTAAAAATGGGATTTTAATTTCTAACGATTTGTTTATCACCATAGCAACGAATAAAAAATAATAATATTAAAAGGACTACACTAAACCCTCAGAATCATTTTTCGTATTCAATGGTTTATAATTGTATTCAAATATACGCATCCATTAGAAATATTGTACAGCAGGGCAGTTCCCACTTGTCCACCTTTTTTTTGTGGAAAATGTACCTAATTTAAACTAGTCGTTTTTCTGTTATTAAAATGGTTTTATAAAAATACAAAATAGATGGCAGATCTAGTATATAAAACTAAACTTTGAGCATTTTTATAAATTATAAATATTGATGGATTAATATAAATTACTAACATTTTCAAATTATTATAGCTTCCTTATCTTCCAAATCCATTATCTGTTGTATATAAAGTTAAATATAAAATAACTCAAAAACAATAAATAACAATTTTAATTTTGATTCGTCAACATTTCAAAAAAAATAATCCGCTAAATAATTTACTATACAAAATGGGGAGTTGTCTTTTGAAAATCAAAAGTTTATATCCACAGGATAATGCCTAAGTTGCAAAAAAAGTCTGAATAATTTAAATGATTTAAGAATAATTAAAAAATCAGAATTTGAATAGGTAACTGCACTATTAAAGATAAAAGTGGGTGAAAAATAATATGAGCATGGTTTTTGAATCACTGTTTATGGTAATGGTTAAAAGTACAATTTATTTTTTAAATATTGTATCTGAATAAGATGCTGAAGGTGTGGAACGTTCACGATTCACGAAGTTCCACTAAACAGTCAACATCAAACCATTCTAACTATTCTGTGGTCAAACTATGTAAAAGTAACATGTGAAAGTTGGAATACATGGGTTGGTACTTGGTTCCAATGTTCCATTACTCGTTTCACGTTTGTTTTAGGTAAACGTACTTTTAGTCCCCGCCAATTGTTAAGAAAAGACATTTGGCACCCGAGGGCCTGGAGTTGTAGTAAAACGTTATTTAGCCATAGCAAAGAACAAAGACCATAGTTTACTTAATTATATTATTTAAGAGGGCTGGAGCAGGTACAAATTATCACGTAAAACAGGCCAAAAGCTAGACAAAACTGTGGGACTTGGGTTTGACGGATTTTAATTTTGAAAACCAATTGAAAATCTTCAACAACTCTTCTAAAGCATGGCCGTGGAAATATAACAAAAAATAATTCCGTACTTAAATATATAAAATACAAAAATTCTTATTTTTTTAAACTGTCAATATTTTATCGAAGAATTTTTATTAAGAAAATCCCCTCGACCATTCCCTAACTAACATAATGACTAATTAATATCCATTTTCAAAATAAAAATCCGTTTAATCCAACTCCCACAATTTTGTCTAGAAAAAAAATAGCTTTTCGGCATTTTTGTCATTTAAATAGTGTGTTGTTTATTTGACAAAATCTATAGTATTGACATGTGCCTGCGAGTGCGGAAATGTATGGGCTCGGCGAATTTGGCGATAGGTACTATAAACTGCCATCATATATTCCTGGAATATAATGTAAGATAAGAAAACGTGCGCCGGTGGGCACCCGGCACAATATAATAATAATTAATAAATTATCGTCTGGCTCAACTGTTCCGGTCCGCCACCGGTCGTTGGTACTTATTATTCTACGGGGAGTAAAAGTAATATTCTAATTTTGAATTTCGATTTTCGATTAGTCATCAGACATTCAGACGTCTGCTGTTGCCTGTTGTTTGAAACTTTGAAATTAATGCGGCGTTCCCACGAGGCGTTAATCACGACAGTCAACCACGCTTTCGGCCCCACGACTGGGTCGTGGTAGAATCAAACATGTTTGATTTTCACTTTTCACTTTTCAGTCGTGAGATACGAACGAAGGTGTCGTGGCGTGGATAATTCCCTAAATTCACGCCTCGTGGGAACGCCGCATAATGTGCAGTCCTTAGTGAGAGATTTTTTAAAAATGCTGTTAATGTCAACTGCTCGTTTTGGAACTTTTTGGTGCATATTTTTTAAGGTAACAAAGCTTTTGAAATAACTTCAATTTGATTCCATTCTGAACTATTTAAACATACATTTTTCTATGATGAATCATTTACTGCCATATTCTGTATAAAATATTTAAGATATTTGACTCTTTTCAAAATATCCAATGTTGAATGCCAACAAGTCAAGCAGTCAAGTATGGGAGACTTTATTTTTAATTTTTTTATTACGTATATTTATGTATGGATCAAAGTTTTTTAACCAATGTCCGAACTTTATTTAATATTTTTTCAATCCCACTATCTTTCAAACTGTCTATCACGGCCAATTGTAATGTATGAGCCACATATCATACAACTAAAAATTAAAATTAACAATAAAAAAATTGTACCTATGTTTTAACTTTTAGTTGATACTTGGTATCATTATATTGGTTAACACAAAATTATTGTTTATTACCTATTTATTATTTTATTCACATTTTATGTGGGTATACATTACAATGCAAATTAAGTCATTAAATATTTTAAAAATAGTACCTGATTATTTAAAGTTAAACATATTATTATTGTACCTTTACTCTCTGAGGAAATGGCATTTAATCATATATATTGTAAAATATTAAAATTCCTGGTACAGCAAAAGTAGTTTTGTTATAAAATATAAATTATGACCATGGGTAATACAATTAGCATATAACCAGGTCACTATTCTGTATTTTTCGTCCTTCTCACGCACGCCCGTTGAATTAATTTGAGTGTCTGTAAATTCTAATATTTTATAATTTTTATTGCAATTTAAATTACAAAAAATTAAAAATGTGGCTCGATCTTTTCCCTGTATATATTACAGACAATCCGAATATTTTTTCAGAATCAAAATTGTGACACGTGTCTGTGGAATTAAAAACAGTAGTTCTTGACGAAAAAAGACTTGGTAGGTTGTGAGACCCCTTAATACGTAGGTACGTACTCGAAGCATGTCTACGATTATGGCATATCTAAATATATTATTTATTGACGATTTCCCCCTGATAATTATGAATGTATGTATAGTAATTGTAATTTATTATTTTATAAATAATATTATAGACGGTACCTCTAACCATTTCAAACACATGTAAAATTATTTAATTTCAATTTTCCGTTCTACAACAACAATATTTGTCCTTGTTCCTATTTACATTTTTATATGTTGTTGATCTTTTTTACTAAATTCACATATCACCCTGTCTAAATATTTCATTGTCATATTGCGTCAAATGTGATTGGATAAAGTTTCAATTATGTTACATTGTTAGTTGTTACAAAAATTAGAAAAATGTATGAAAATTGTTTATTAAAAAGTATTATTGGTAATATGCAAAATAGAATATTTTATGAGAGTTCCATATTAATAATATCATACAAATTAGATTTTATATAATGTCTAATCTTTAAGATATTATTGTTATATTATTGTTATATTAATATTATAAGTATAATAACACGTTATTCACAA